TCTGCTAAATCAGAGTCCTGACCCCATAGTCAGACTTTCTGCCACACTAGGGGTAGGACATGAGAGGCTTTATTTTTAACAACTCCCCAGGTGGTGTTGATGTAGTTGGAGGCCACACTTTGTATAGCAGAGCTGAATAATACCTTAGCCCAATACTTCTCTTACTGTTTTGAAATTTTGTGTGTCTTTTCACCTCATGGAACCTAAGCTTCTTGGGTTGAAGAATATGGTTGCTCATCAGTGTGCCCCTAGTGAGTAAGGACCTGGGATATTTTTGGTGTTCAGTAAATATCTGTTCAGTGAATGAATGAACAGCTAACTGTTTTGCAGTAAAGTTTTACTTTTTTATTTTTTTAACTTGAAATAAAACATTTAATTATGTATACATCCTACAATTTGGATGAACTTCAAGCACATTATGCTATTACAGGAAGCAGATGAAAAAGATCTTATTTTGAATCCTTTTACACAAAATTCTCACAACAGCAATTGCATGAATATGAAAAGTAAATTGATGGTTGCCTAGACCTGAGATAGAAATTGGGAAAAGCTGTAACTTGACCTGAAATTCTTCTTTTGGGTTACAAAAATGTTTCAAATTTAAGATTGTGGTAAGAGTTGTACAATTTGAATAATATATTGATCACTGAAATTTATCCATAATACAAGTTAATATTGTAAACTCTGCATCAGTGAAACTGTTAATTTAGGGCCGGCCAGATAGTTCAGTGGACTAAAGCCCCTGCTTAGATAGAGCACAGAGGCCGGGGTTTGATCACTTGGGTGCCGTGCTGGCCCTGCTTCCAGAGCACACTGAGATGGCAATTGAGACTGGGCATGGTGGCATGCACCTGTAATCCCAGCTCTTGGGAAGCTGAAAACAGGAAGGATCACTATGAGTCTGATCATTCTCTCAGGCTTTCACAGAAAGCAAATTGGTGAAGCAATGGCCGTGACTCATCCACATGGCTGACACTGACAAAGGATCTACTAACTGTGGTACAGAGTTTCAGGGTAAATACTGAGGGGATTTGGCAGTAAAGTTTTGGTCCTGCTTCTCGTAGTGGATCAACTTCCATTTGGAATATTTCAGCTTGGTGATCTTTGGACTATTGTCCACTCCTCTATGTACCTTTATCCTTGAAATACTCAGATACAGGACCTGAGAATTCCTATAAAGATCAGGCCATTGGTTAAATAGAGAAAGTCAAGGACTTCTTTTGTTAGACCTCAGACTTTAAAATATAAAATGTATTCTTAGATTGCTTGTCCCTAAGAAGAACATATTTCCTAACTTATGCAAGCCTGTGAGTAAGTAGACACACTTTTCAGTGTCTGTGATATAGTTGCTAGGGGACTGCATGTGGGATAAAGTAGTTTCCAATATAGCTGTAGCTCTCCATGTGAAAGCCTGGGTGAAGATACCTAAGAATTCTTGAATTATTCAAACTCTTGATATTTACCACTGTTAGCCTAAAGATACAAATTTTAAAAAAGATATTCAAGTCTCTTGATTTATTAAATCAATTTAAAATATGCTTTGATGCCTAAGGGTGATCTCAGAGGTAGAACACTTGCCTAGCATATGTGAGGAGGCCCTGGTTCAATCCTAAACAACATACACATGCATACACATGTGTGCATGCACACATAAACACACACGCTAAAATACATAATGAGAAGCAAGGGAAAAGAGATGGGTATAGTTTAGCACACTTAATGAAAATGATTGAAGGATCATACTGTGTGTAGGTTACATGGTGTTCATGTGCTCTCTCTCTTTGTTGTAGAACCGTTTTGGTCTCTGGGAGTAGAAACTAACTTTCCTTGCAAGCTTAAGTTTTTGGTTTTTTTTTTTTTAAAAAAGGAAGAGAAATTCAAGAAGTGAGAGATAAGGAGTGAGCTGGTAGTCCCCGGAGGTGGAGATCTTGCTGGTTCCTGTTCATTCTACCATTCTGGTACTGGCCTAGCTGCTTTGCCTTTGCCTTGCTGTCTCTTCACCATTCATCAGCTGCCAGCAGCCTTTCTTATTCCTACTCTGTATCGCCTCCCTGGCTACCTCATAGGTACTGCTGGGCTTTGCTTCCAGCCCCTCCTAACTTGAAGTCCCACCTGTCCTTTACATCATGGCCCTGCTATGCATCTGTTCATTTTCTGCTTGTTATCTTTTAATTTCTTATCTACATCTCTAGGAATGAGCATCTGGTCCAAGTTATCTTGCCAGGGAAGAGCTTTCCATGCCAGAGTACTTCCAAGGCATTCTGTGTACGTGCCATGCCTTACTTTGAGTAGGTGAGACCCAATGTGCAACAGACTTGGGTCCACATATGGCTGCTACCTCCACCTCATTAGCACAGTGAGCTGCCCTATGTTGTGGCTGTGGGCATGGGAGATCCATGGAGAGCCTGCTGGGCAGTGGGGCTTGAGGAGTAGGCAGGCTTTAGGGAGGCTGGGAGAAGAAGAAGGGTGTCCTGCGAATAAGGCATAAGATTGAACCCTAAGGATGGAGCTGAGAGTGGGCAAGGAGGAGGCTGGATCACATGGGCCTTGAAGGCCAGGTAGAGGAAATGAACTGTTTTGTTAGGCAACAGATCATCTCTGTAGGCCTTTAGGCGAGGAATCAATTGCCCCCTCCTGTCCATTCCCAATTCCTGCTGTTAAAACAGAGTTGAGATTACTAAGAGGCCACTAATGCTATTCAGGCATGTGGTGACATGAAGAGGAAATAGTGAGCAGGCAGTCACAGTATTGGAGAAAGAGCAAATGCACAATGATATTAGCAAACACTGGACAGGGCAGCTGTGTTACCATGTCAGAAGACTCTTTCCTAGAGGAGAGGCAGCTTCCATTTCAGAAGCAGACAATGAAGTGGGCCAGCACTCAGTGTGCAGCTTCTGTGCCTTTCTTCATGGGAAAGTGAGGAACTGAACTTTTGAATCTTCTCTGCCACTTCATCCTTGCAAACATCCGTCCTGGTCTCTCCTGCCTATGCCTTGCTGGTCAGTTCACTTACTGCAGTACTTTCTGCCAGAGCAGACCTGGAAGACAATGTTTCAATGAGTTTTCCATGGTCCAGTCTGACCAGACATTTACTACAGTCAAGCCAACGCCCTTTCCTCTACTCATTCTGTGTTCTACTTGTGAACCTATCAGCTAGATGGGTTCATGGAGAAGGTGCTTCCAGGGCATAGCTTTAGAATATGGTGGGAGCATTTTGGATGGAAAGTTTTGTGGTTCATCAAGTGCTCAGCTTGTCCTTTTTTTTTGCTTTCTTGTTTGTATAGTATGTTATTAGAACTATAAGTGATTTTTAAAAAAAAGTCAGAAAAATCCACTTAGAAATCTACATATGCAAGAATGCAGCTATGAATAAAGAGATTATAAAAGGAAAGAAGGGCATTATTTGCCGTCTGCAGGGGTTCTTAAACACACATAGGCAACGCCCTTTAGCTTTCTGGGAAAAGGATAATAATATCCCCTGTACCTACCTCTGAAATGTCTCGAGATACTTAAATGAGGTAAAGGTCTGTGAAATGCTTTGTAAGTGTCAAAGCATGCTGTGAATTTGAGGTATTAACTAATGGATGGTGATTCCCTAGACGTTTAAAAATGGTTTGATTTACATTTAGTAGAAACTCAGCTACTATGAAAGTAACACAGTGAGGACTAATGACATATATTGATTCCTAATCACATGGTGTTCAGCTTCTCTGTGACCTTCCTTCTGGCCATCCTGGAGGATCCTGGTTCTTTCTTTGAGGAAAAGCCTCTTCACCGTAAAACCTCCCTCAGCACTTTGGGAAACATCCATCCTTCTGGCAGCGTTTCATGCCCTTCTCCTAAAGCACCCTCAGCCCAAGGTTTCAGTGGTCAAAATGATAGATGTGTTATTGCAAAGATGACATCTCGAGGCTATCTCACAGCCCCAAATTTTATACAGTCTCTTTTTTCCCCCTCCAACATGGTGGTGGTGGGGCAGGCATTCTCTGCAAGCTTTAATTTCCGGAATGGTGTATGGGGTGGTTTCTAGAGAGACTAGTGTGCTCAGAAGCAGGTAGCTTGATGGCTCCTGGGTGGTAATTCCCTGCCCTTACTTAGTTTCCTTTTGTTCTAAAGCGCACCCTCCTGTGTTCACCTCTTGGTGTAGTGGAAGTGGCCCTTTGTACGGAGCCCCTTAGTCTTAAGGTAGATAGGCAAGATGGAACAAAGCCCTGGCTCTTCCTCCCCATGTCGTCATTTCTGTTTCTTTTCCTGAATCCTGATACAGCTTTTGTTTTTTCCTATATGTTTTTTCCTATACTGCTTTCCCCTGTTTTCTAGGCTCTTAAATCTTGGCATTTGACGTGCTCGCCCTCTAGTGGCAGGCCGGATGCACTCCTCGTTACCCTGCTCATTGTGATACCGTGGCATCTGTTCTCACTGCTCAGCTCTGTTACTAATTACAGTCTCCCCAGCTATACACATGGAAAGACAGGGTCAGTGACCTTGACTTGCCACCCAAGTAGGACCTAAGGATATTGGATTTGAATTGGCATTTTTGACTTCTGTATTTATACAACATGAATGCAACAGACAAAAAGAAATTGTGTGGTTATAACTGTTCTAATAGGCTTTAATTATGGTTTAAAAAGAATCTGAATTAATTTTTTGTCTACTCAGCTGAAGTAGAAGAAATCAAAATGTTGTGAATAGTTTCTGATGAGAATGATTGGTTTATGCTGCATCACATTGGAAAATTTTTTATCATTTACCAAGTATTCAATATTTCATGCACAGTCCTGTTAACAACTTTGAGGACTAAGGGAAAAACTGTGAACAGCTTGATGTCTACCCTTCAGTTTATGTTTCAGTTACATTTTAGTTATGATACAGAGACATTTGTCCCCTTGGGGAAAAATTAAGTATAATTAAGTATACTAATAATTTTTATTAGTATTTAAATTTTCTGTTTCAACTCACTAACAGCAGGTGCTCTGAGAACTTCCTTTTTATTTTTAAAGTCCTTTTCAGTGGAGAGAGAACTGCAAGATAACAGCAGCAGTTACCCAGATGAGCCCTGGAGGATAACCGAAGAACAGCGGGAATACTACGTCAATCAGTTCCGGTCCCTTCAGCCAGACCCCAGTTCCTTCATTTCAGGTGAGGACGTGGGGTCCTTGGACACTGATCTCAGACAAGTAATGGTAGCATCTTGAGAAGATAGCTTATACAAAGTGAATGCCAACCTTCTGGGGTTTCAGTTTGTTTTCCTCTGCGGTGGGATTTCTCATTAAATAGAAATCACGCAGAATAAAAGATGGCAATGACATTGGGAAAATAATGTTGCTGTTTCAGAAGGGTAAATGGGAATTTGGGAGAACCTGGTCTAGACCCTGCAACTTACTAGCTAGAGCAGTTCTTGGAATGGTAAATTATAGCTCCAAAGGGGGATGGGGGTTAAGCTGCTTATTCTTTATATTACAGCCAGAGCAGGGACAGAACGGAGTCTTCTAAGGACTTGGTATCACAAGTCTCCTTGTATCTTACACACCCTAGAAGGTTAAACTCAGGCTCATTTTCTTTGGCTCAAATCTTTCTCTTCTGTTTTTTCTGAGATAAGTTAAAATGTGGGAAGAAAATTAGGCAGCATTTTTCCTCATGTCGGTCCTTCTGGGATGTCTTCAGATCTATATATTCCTGTAGAGTTCTCATGTAAAATTCAATTGAATTCCTGTGTATGCCTGCTTTTTACCAGGCTGAAGCTTAAACAAACAGTGAAATAGCAGAGTCTGCAGGAAAATTCACACAACTTTCTATACTTCAATTTTGAAGAATAACCGTGTGTTCTTGATAGCTGTAACCTGACACATTGAAGAGTGATGTAACACTAGTTTTCTTCTTTAAAATAAGTTGTGGGATTGAGATATATAAATAAATGGAAACATCATTCTCTGATTGGTGGTTCATCAAGTGCTCAGCTTGTCCTTTTTTTTTGCTTTCTTGTTTGTATAGTATGTTATTAGAACTATAAGTGATTTTTGAAAAAAAAGTCAGAAAAATCCACTTAGAAATCTACATATGCAAGAATGCAGCTATGAATAAAGAGATTATAAAAGGAAAGAAGGGCATTATTTGCCGTCTGCAGGGGTTCTTAAACACACATAGGCAACGCCCTTTAGCTTTCTGGGAAAAGGATAATAATATCCCCTGTACCTACCTCTGAAATGTCTCGAGATACTTAAATGAGGTAAAGGTCTGTGAAATGCTTTGTAAGTGTCAAAGCATGCTGTGAATTTGAGGTATTAACTAATGGATGGTGATTCCCTAGACGTTTAAAAATGGTTTGATTTACATTTAGTAGAAACTCAGCTACTATGAAAGTAACACAGTGAGGACTAATGACATATATTGATTCCTAATCACATGGTG